CCACCTCTGTTATTGCTTCAAAATCAGCTGCTTAAAAAATAAATTAATTTGTGAAAGAAGACTTCTGAGAATAAACTTGATAAAAATATGGTGAAAACAGGTTTTCAAGTCATCGGGATTTTGATTCTTGTTTTCACGTTAGTCTTCAGATGATGTCAATGTCATTGCTCCCAGAATTAGTTGCTGACAGCTCACCCCAATAGGATTACTTGCATACTTAGAGTGAAGCAAGTGCAGAATTGTTTGCAGAACCAGGCTCTTTAATAAGCAGCTATACACTTGACTGCAAGAGCATGGGATGAATAATGAGTCATCAGCCCTCTGAGGGCAGTGTAGATCAGCTCCGTGGCTGCTACTCTGGAACATGGCCAGACAACAAAATTGCAAATGTGTTTTTCTCTTCAGTTTCCTCCCTCTTCCTCTCAGAAGAAGTGGGGCCCTGACATTGTGACATTTCTTTTGTTCTTTGATCATTGTATTTTCAGACACCTGTAGAACATCTCAGAGGAGATTATGGGTGGTCTCGTTAATTAGTTTTTCAGTTTGACATCCTGGTGCATCAGCACGATTGCTTTGTGAAAGGAAGTCTCGAAAAATGGCTCTTTTTGGATAACACCTGGAGGACATCAGCGACATCAGAGCCTTTATAAAATGGACAGTGTGGGCACACAGAGCAGGAGAGCTAATTCTGATAGTCTGTACTTTTGGAGAACTGAATGTGCCTATGCATCTTTCCATTTTCTTTTTGAGGATGCTAAATGGGCACTGATCTCTTGCGAGGAAGATTCTCACTTAGTTATGAAGCAGAAGAGGAGTGGCTTACATGTCAACCGGTCAGCAAAGGCTTTCATCATAATTTCTTTTGTGACTTTTTAGCTTGCAAGATTGTGAACACAATGTTTTTGGTTGAAGTATTACATGCAACATCCTTTTTCAATTACCACACCAACCAACTACACCCCCAAACTCCAACTTCCTTCATGAAGTACCCGATACCCAAGATCAATGCAACCCTAACGGGACTCATTTAAGATAAGAAAGCTCATGTATTTTATAAATCAATAATATTTTATAAATCAATAAATTTTATAAATTTACTGCACAGACTCACAGCAAATGCTTACTTGTACAGGTTATGTATGGATAGGATTTAAACTGTTTTGTATTTCAAAGAAATTATCCAATGTAGAATTAGTCTTTGGCTAAATGTATGCCATAAATATGCAGGATGACATGTTACAGATGAGCTGATGCCACAGTGGGAGAATCTTATTTTTTGCACTGCCTACTTTCTTGTTGCATGTCTACAGTGACCTGATGTTGTGAGCATTTAGCTGGCATTGGTATTTTACCTTCTACCTCCACAAAGGCAAGGAAAAGTCCCAACATACACAGCTCCGAGACATGGCAATTATTTTCAGCTTACATCACTCTTCTCCTTGGGCTGGCTGCACTTATTTAAAATAGACTTCAGTGGGGTGGAACAGATATCTGCCAATGGCTAATTAAATTAAGGGTTCCATCTGGACTCACAGATTTAACTCAGAATTTCCTTACATTTATGATTTCACTGTGTAACAACATAATTATATAAATCAATTGTCACATTCAAAATACATATACAGATATAATCCTTGACTGTGTTGCATAAACCCACACATCTTCAATTACTAGAAATGTAAATCAATTTTCACCCTTTTAAAAAACAGGTTTTGCTTAATAAACATGTTTATTTTACCTGTGCCAAATACTTTTTCCATATTTATAAAATATGGCCTCTGATAACAGTCCTATTTTACATCAGGTACAAAACACAAATTATCATCCTTAACTCCTGATATTTTTGGGGTTTGAATAGATATTGATCTTTCAACAGAACAAAACAGGTTGGCTATTATTTTCTTCTGCTCATGTTTTGTGTTATACATAGGGAATCCTTTACCAGTAACATGCTTAAGTAATGGGTTCTGGACATGCATACTATAGAATATTTTGTTAGCACATGAACGGAAATGTCCCAGTCTCCAAATCTCATCTATTGCAAGCTTTAAAAGATTACGAATGCTCCAGAGGGAACAATGACTATGCCCATTGCACAACTTGCATTACTGGTGATAACTGAGCAAAAACTAACTTCACATCATGAAAGTGCAAAGCAAAATAAAGAAATTAAGTTATTTGTATCAAGTTTGGCTATATCTGCTAAATATATTCTAATCATTCTAAGAGAGAAAAACAGAAGGCGAATAGGCAATGAATAAAACCCATAATGGTCAATAACATGTGTTGCATGTTTTTTGAATGGAAAGTAACTTATCACATCTGAAATAAAAGCTGTTTATTCTTGTGTTTCACTGTCTGTAACAGTCCTTGCAATTTATCTGTGAAAAAGTGAGAAACTGTAACTCCATTAGCATATGAATACTTGACACATCAAATCGGTTGTACAATAACAGAGGAACATTTGCTATTGCTGTGTGCACACAGACAAAGCAGCCATTTTGAGGGGGGAGAGGGAAAAAATAAAATAAAATGGTGTGGGTATTTAACCCATTGTTTGTCTCTCGGTTTCACATGGCAGTTTTGATCAGTGTAGCCAGGCAGAGTGGCTGGAAATTCCAAATCCAAGCATGCAGGTTAAATGCTGATACAAAAATGTATTCAGATGGTAGTGGATGAGACAATAGAAGAAATGCAAACCCAGTCCAAAATAAGTAAATTAGTGTAGTCTTTTAATGTGTACACCTGGGGTGGGGTGAGTAGAGAAATGAGAAAATTGTACAGAAATTAACTGTTTCCTATGTACAGTTTTATTTCATGGCAATAGTATTGTGAGCCTTGGGTCAGATGTGTGAAACTATTTCTCAAAGAAACTGCATACATAATTGAGGCCCTATGCAGGGTTCTCAGTTGAAGTTGCCAGGCTACATTCATTTCAAAAGCAGAGCCATTTGTTATCAAATTTAAATTAACTCTCTCGGCCCTGGGTACATAGTTTGAAGAGCAGCTTTGCAGACTGTACGTGCTGTCTGAGGGAGGAGGAGTGATGCCTGCTCACTGACTGTAGTGTCATTTTGCAAAAAATGGAAATTTTTCTGTGTTTAGGCCTGAAAAGCAGTAATCTAAGAAGGTAGATTTCTGAGGAATAACTTTATGCTTTTTTCTCTCTTGGAAGACACACTGGTCTTTATTCTCCCTTTCTTTTCTTTTCCTTTAAAAAAAAAAAAAAAAGGTAATGATTTCAGCTTTAATTTGGGAATAAATTAACAAATCAATATTTGCTGCTGTTTCTTCTGGAAGCACACTGTGGCTGCCTTAACCAGTTTTGTTTTTTTCTTTTGCTTTAAATGGGGCTTAGAGTGTTTAAACACATAGGTTAGCAACCCAAGATATTTGTATTTTTCGGATCCCCTAGCCTGTACTTGGACTGGTTACAGGTGTAACTACAACATGACTTCTGTTACATTAAAGAGATAAAAGATTGCACTAACTGTTATAATTTTTTGTTTGTTTCCTTGAGTGTCCCAATGTGCCATGTGCTTGCCAAGCAGAGGAGAGATATCTGTGCCCCAAGGAGCTCACTTGACTGTTACACACAAGAGACGGGATTTTCAATGCCATCTCTTAAGCAGCAAAGGGCAACTGATAAAAGCACAGAGCCAGAACCACAAACATCCATTCACCATATCAGTTTGTTTTCCCTAGGCTCTTTTCTTCCCCACAGTTGCTTTCAGTAAATACTGTAGCAGTTGAGTGTGAATGGCAAAATATTTGTTGAAAGTAAATTTCATATTCTGTGAAGAACTCTGTTTGCTAGAAACTTGGTAGCCATTCTTGGTGGAAATGTCAGACAATCCCAAGCTCAGCAGGAACATCCATGTTCTTCAAGGTAAAGTGCTTTGGCTCAGATCCATAAGGATTACTCCCTAACCCTCACTGAAATCAAACATCTTTGAGACAAAAAGAAAAGAACAGATACAGCACTCTCCAGCCGAAGGCAAGTGATGAGCTCAGTGCAAGTTTTGAATATTGGTAAAGAACTCACAGAGCAGGGAAAAAAACCCCCCACGCTAAAGATAGCATTCTTAACTGTCTGTGCTTTTACTTCTTCATAGGAGATTAGGGCATTTAATCTACATTCCTTCATCAACATAAGATGCTGATTTGTTAGAATCAAGTCAAGCCTGTTGTAACTGTTTACAGGTGTACTGGTAAGACTGAACTTATTTTTGTTCAACCTCTCCAGGTTGAGAGAGGACTTTGTTACAGTAAAGGCTATGGCAATACTACTAAACACCAAGGTGCCACATTAAAACGACCTTTCTTCTAAAAGAGGAACAAACAGCATTTTATTATTCATATATATAAAGATGTTATTCATTTGTTTAAGCAGTTAGCAGGTGACTATCCCAAGTTGCCTATCACTTAAGAGAATCATCCTTTGTACAATCTGCAAATGTCTTCTGAAAAGAAAAAGGAAAAGATTAACTGATTTTAAAAGTGAGGAGAGTAAAGTTATACAGCATAATATTTGCCCTTTGATTTTTCTAAAGGAAGATACCTCCCTTCCAACTCTAAATATTCTGTTATTCTGTGATATCATGTGTGCTTGCCCCATGCTGCCCTGGATGTTACTCTAAAGCTACAAGCCATTTGCTTATTTAAAGCCCTGTGCAGCTAACAATGCTACAGAGCTAGTAAATCCTGCAAAGCAGTCTTTGAGAATCTTGTTTATTTACTGGTGGAAGTGATGGACCATGCTTGTGTATCCATGGCAACACTTCAACGTGCAAGAGCAGGGCCAGGTCTTTTCTTGCTCCTGCAATATGAGATTAAAAGTAAGAGCCTAAATCTTATTAAATAGCAGAAGCTTTTCAAAAGATAAAACATAGAGTTTATGGGACCATATGATAGTTGTTCATGGTAATATATCTGTGCTATTTCAATGTTTTCATTAGTTTCCTCTGCTGATTGTAAATAGTGCTGAATGGTGAACTTACACGGAAAGAGAAAACTTTGCAGCTCATCCTGGATCTTGTCAGCATCGAGCCTGAATTGTTAAGAATATCTGTTTTAGAAGATATTAAATTGTATCATGCTGTAATTTTTATCTTTTCTTGAAAGTTGCTACAGGTTCTTTTATATTTTTTGTTCTCATGCCAAATGCTTTGATTAGGAATGTTACATGATCCAGCGGATTAGTAATGCAATTGCCTATTTATATTTATAAATCCATGCTTTCTCTCAGTGCATTTGTGTTTGCTGTACCATTGATATGTTAGACTGATATGACTGAGATGCAAATTATGTGTATGTGGTGGAATTTAGACATAAAATCAATTCTTTATGAGCCATAGGTTTTCTTACTGTTACTCTTGATTGCATTACCTTTGCCTTGAGAAAGGTTGTGCACTTTTAAGATTTAGAAAGACACCTTGAAAAGTTAAATCAAATTAATTCTTTGTTAGAATATCTATGCAATAAAGGAAGAATTTAGCAATGGAGCAATAGGCTGTAGAAGAAAATTTATCTTCCTCTAACATGACCAAATTCTAGCATAGGTTTCTCAGTATTCATAGACTTAAATGACACAAGATTTTTATTTAATGCATCAAATGTCCTCCAAGTATACTGTGTTTTCCAGAAACACTAGTATTTAGGCTAATATCTAATTTACAAGACTAATAGATTACCTATATTCTGATTACAGGATAAAGAAAGTTTTCTGGTTTAATATTAAATGTGTTACATGCATCTGTCAGTTGAATCACTAAAATTACAGGTGAAGTCCTGAAAAAATTAGTAAGCCTTAGCTGAGACCAGCCATCACTGTATACTAAAAAAATGGGTGTCAGGGTGTGGCAGCTCTGGAAATGATACAGAAAACACCCAAGTAGCCGGTAGCCAGTAGCCAAAAGCCCAGCAGACAGGCTTTTCAGAATAACAGCAAAATGAAATAGGTTTGGTTGGTTGGTTGGTTGGTTGGTTTTTTCCAAAAAAAAAGGTAATAAATGTAATTTTTTTCTCATTTTCTATCCCATACTGTGTACATTATAACTGGACATCTCTGCATAAACAAAATATATCTCTGTAAAAAAGTGGCTCTGTTAAAAAGCTGTTTCAGAAGGTATCTGCTCCTCAGATGGAAGAGAGAGAAAAGTTTTGGTCTTCTGTTGCGTGATTTTGATTAACATACTTCAGCGCGACAGGAGATTGCTTACACACCTGTTGTTCATGTGTGTGCCTATGCACACACATAAAAGAAGCTGTGAATTTGGAGGGTAGCAAGGGGATAAAATTGTTCTTATTGCTGTCTGGGTTAGCATTTACTCAGTCTGTGAGGTCAGAAAGAGCCTTGTGATAATGGCACCCATCTAAGTGAAAAAAATTTGAATTTTCAGCAGAAAAAGGAGTGGAAGACTGGATAGGTCTATTTGCAGGCTAACTTTACAGTGTGACATCTTTGTTGTTAGAAAAACCAATATTTTTCAAGATTCTATCTTTGATGTTCATGCCAAGTTTCTATTCATCTAGTGCATAGACTCCTCTTTGCAATATTCTTCTCTTTTTTCAGGTTGAACTTGGTAGACCATCACTGATCTACCATTTTCAAAACAGTTCTAAGAAGCTGTTGTACAGAAACGTCAGAGGAAATTCCTAAAAGGAAAAAAAAAAAAAGAAAGAAAAAAAACTGGCCAAAGGAGAGAGCTCTGCAATCTCCATAACACAAGGAGATGGGAATGGGATTGATCCCCTTTGGATAGTGTTGGTCACTCTGGTACTAGTATGTAAGTATTTATACAATAGCATAAATTTCCAATACAGGTAGTTTCATTAATCATTCATTTCTGATGATTCAACACACTTACTTTTAGAGCAACTTGTTGATACTATGGGGATATTTCCCTCCTTCATGTTGGTTGACTGGAATTCAGACAGATGGAAGAGACTCTGAGAGATTTATTCAGTTTGTACAGTTTTAGAGAATAGTGTGTCTTTTTGAGGGGTGAAAGGGACTGCAGGGAATAACACTATACCTGTTACTACTTAGAGGCAGGTAAGGAATATTGCAACCTGCAAGGGATCTAGCTGGAGATGATAGCAATGTGTCTCACTTGACACTTTAGTAAGGTCCCCTGTTGGAGTTTGTTCAGACTGAGTAAAATGCTGATTAATGCTCTGAGGACATATGTCATGGATTTCTTGGTTCTACATGAAGAGATCCTTTAAAACATTCAGGAATGACCAAAAATTTGTTTGCCATGGTGATCGTCAACCCTTGAAGGGTTTGCTTCCAAGGGTAAAAGAAAAATTAGAGATTTTTTTCTATCCATCTGAGAAAACTTGTCTTTTGAGTACATAGGGGTTTGGATTCTGGTTAAACAAAATTTTAAGACTACTTTTCAGGTTATAATGAAGACAGAGGAACAATACAGAGCTTGTTAAGGAAACCAGCAGCAGCTTTACAAAAAGTGGCTATGATGATATCTGCTTTCCTAGTTTTTTTTTTCACTTTAATAGGTATGTGTGTATATTTTTCTTATTTGGTACAGAGTATGCAGTGCACCTGAAAGTGTTCAAGGCCAGGTTAGACAGTGCTCTGAGCAACCTGGTCTAGTGGAAAGTGTCCCCACTCATGGTAGGAGGGTTGGAACCAGATGATCTTTTGTGCCACCTCCAACCCAAACCATTCCATGACTCTCTGATTAGCATTTGGAAAAATTGCTTCTTTCCTATAGCTGAGCTGGGATATTTTAAAATCTGTCACATTATACATGAATCGCCCAGAACTCTTTGGCACATGCTGCAGATATATTTTCAGTGATTTTTTTTCTAAAAATACGTAACTTATTAGCAAGTTCAGCTGCAAGAATTAGTGATTTTATCAGCTACATTTATGCACCCTGAAGTCAGATATCTTTAGTGTAGTTGCACAATGATAGTAAATGATAGTTTGCAAATATTTTTATGCAATAGTAGATTAAAATGCAGGCAGTAAACCCAACAGAAAGCAGGCAACAAATTAAGACAGGTGAAATAACTCACCAACCAAAATTTAAAATAAATTGAAAATTAAACGTATTTTAAGAATAAAGTGAGTAAGACATCCTTGTTTGTAACTTATTTCCACATAGAAAGATAGAGTAATTCTAGGAATTATAATCCAAATGCAGGAATAGGAAAAATTCAGCTCTTCTATACATGGAATACTGTAAATTTTTTCTTTGTATTGTCTAAAAGTGAGGAAGGGCAGTGGGAGCGACAAAGATAGAGAATTGGGTGATAAACATTAATTTTTATTAGTTGAGAAAATAATAATTATGGAAAACCTGTAGCATGGCCCACAGTTCTCATCAAAATATTTTTACTACTTGTTCCCTCAGGATGCCAGCCATCCGGGTGTTTCATAGACAAAAATCAAAGAATCATTGAATACGCTGAGTTATGCTGAACCCACAAGGTTCATCAAAAGTCCAACTCCTGTCCCTGCACAGAACACCCCAGGAATCGCACCATACGCCTGAGAGCGTTGTCCAAACATTCCTTGAACTCAGACAGGTTTGGTGCTGTGACCACTTCCCTGGGGAGCCTGTTCCAGTGCCTGACCACCCCTTTTCCTAAAATCTGACCTAAACCTCCCCTAACTCATCTTCATGCTGTTTCCTTTAGTCCTGTCACTGGTCATCAGAGAGAAGAGATCAGTGCTTGCCCCTCAGATTCCCCTGATGAGGAAGCTGAAGACCAAAATAAGGTCTCCCCTCAGCCTCTTCTTCTCCAGGCTGAACAGATGAAGTGATCTCAGCCACTCCTCATACAGTTTCCCCTCCAGTCCCTTCACCATCCTTGAGGCCCTCCTTTGGATGCTCTCTAATAGCTTAATGGCTTTCTTATATTGTGGTGCCCAAAACTGCAAACAGCAGTTAAAGTGAGCCCGCAGAGCGGGACAATCCCTTACCTTGACCAGCTGGCAGTGCTGTGCCTGATGCCACCCCAGGGAACAGTTGGCCCACCTGGCTGCCAGGGTACTGCTGACTCATATTCAACTGGCCATCAACCAGGACCCCCAGGTCCCTTTCCAGCCTCTCATTTCCCAGTCCATATGTACATCTTAAATAAAAAAATGTAACCACTCTGGGCAGTTTATAGCTTAATCCGGAACACAACATATACCTGAACATGCAAGCACACTCTTGTTCTTACAGCTGTGATTTGGTCTAAGGTCAGCGAAGTTTTTCTTGATTTACCTCCCTCTGACATAGTTAAATGATAGGAAGATGTTATTTGCATTAGTCTGAAAATAAACATCTAAGCAAATGGATAAGAATTTGTCTCTCAGACTCACAACATGCAGGTTACTGTGGTCCCCTAGCTATCCTTATGTCCCATATGTGTGAAACGTATATATGAATATATTATTTGTACATGGTCTAATCAAACACTTTACATGATGTATCTGTTTAAAGCTATATTAAACACCCATATTTTTTTCTATACACTGCACTGAAATATAATTATCTCATTTCATATTTTATAGGAGAGATGGAGTTTGGAACTGACTTGATGTACATGTGGCAGGAGGCCAAAGCAGAATCAACATCCAGAAGAAAATGCCAAATACAATAAAATAACAGTGACTTAATATGATTTAATATAAATAAATTGTTTGAGGTTAGTGGAAAGAATCCTTGATCTTTTCTTCTTGTTATAAATTAAGATGATTGTGTAATGTATTCTAACAGTTGTAACTCCTTCCAACTAGGTCTATCCATCACAGCTTGGACGGAAACACTGCTTTTTTTTCATATCATGGAACCAAACTGTTGAGGAGGGTTCATGACAGTAGACCTACTTACCCTGTTCCTCCTGCTTTTTACAATTTCCTCTGTGTTTTTTTATTAAAGCAAAGGTACCATCTATTACTCTGACATACTGTTATGCAGCCATCCCATGAACTGACACCTCCAAAGTGGCTTTGAGTTTCAGAACACAAAACTTGACTTTGAGCTATGCTTAGCACAGCTGGTGCCAAACAATGTGAATTTTCTTCCTACATCATATATAGAAAGGCCCTGATGGTGCCCTACCTCTTCCCTTCTCTCATAACATTTAGATGTTTTATATGAAGGAATCACAGCAGCTGATTTGATTTCACCTCTGAAATCAAATTTGATCTCACCTCTGACACACATTTCACTGTTGAGTCCTTCCTTCTTCATCATCTACTGCTTAACCTCCAACCTCTCCCTTCCCAGACCAGAAAATCTGAAGTACTTTATACAGAGGACAGATGCTGTGGACTTGAGGGGATCTCCAGCCCTGGGGCATCATACGGCTAGGGCATGCTCCAAGTGGCTGCAGGAAGGGATAAAGCTCGGTAAGGTAAATGTGTGACAAAAGCCTGTGTTTCCTATGATCCCATTGAATTACCAAAGAGAATATAGCAAAGAACAGATGGGAGGTATCTCTGACTTCTCTGCTTGCTTTTGCTTCATGTCCATGCACTGTGGAGTGCCATGTCCTGTCCAGCCTATACCTTCTTGAAGTTTTCATGAGACAGGCAAAGCTGAGAAAGCTCAAGAGGCCGTAGATCATAGACCGGTTTGGACTTTTAAAGGTCATCTAGTCCAACTCCCCTGCAATGACCAGGGACATCTGACATTTGATCAGGTTGCTCAAAGCCCCATCCAACCTGGCCTTGAATGTTTCCAGGGATAGGGCACCCACCACCTCTCTGGGCCAGGGCCTCACCACCCTCATCATAAAAAAAAAAAAAGTCTTCCTTATGTTTAGTTTGAAACCCATCTTTTTATGCCTTAAAACAATTTCCCCCATCCTAACATTACAGGGTCTACTGAAAAGTCTGCCTCCACCTTTTTTACAAGCCCTCTTTAAATATTAAAAGATTGAAGTCTACTCTGCTGCAGTAGACTTGAGAACAAACCAGGTAAGTACCTACAAGGCTTGATAAGACCGACTACTCTTAAACATTCTCTTGCTTTTGCATTTCAATGACATCTTACCTAACGTGTTTCTCAATTAGTTACTAACAAAGTGATGATATCAGTGTTGCCATAGTATCAGCACTCTGAAGAACATCTGACTGTGATATACTGTATCTTCAAATGGACAATAAAATATAAAGCATTATTTATATTGAGTTGACAAAATGATCCCCAAAAGATACTAAATCTTCCATTTAGCTCATCTGTTGTTTAAAAATAAAGGAGCAACCATTTATGTTCACACATCTGCTGCTTGATCTCATCACCATCATTATCATCATCATCATCATTATTTTACATTAACATAATTACTCTTTGTGTAATGTATAAATTCAAATACAACCTGTAATTGCATTCTAACAACTACTGGGAATTAAATGCTTACTTTCCAAAGCCTGGTATAAACGGTGTTTGCAAGTATACACTATGTAAGTATGAGAACCGTTATATTACAGGAGACAGGTGTTAGAAAGTGAAAATTATTATTAGTTTGCATAGAGTTAAACTCAAAACCAATAAGGGCTTAGCTGGTTTATGTTCTGTAATGAGCAAGGAGCTTAGGTTGCCCTCACTGACATTTTCAAATACCCAACTACATTGATTTCTTATTTCAGATGAAAATCACACAAAGGTTGTGGCTCCTGGAATCAAGAAAAACTTTAAAAGTTTTGGTTCAATTCTGTTTTCAAGCTCTTTACTTTAAGTGTGGTGGGACAATCTATAAAGAAGAAATATATTCTTCTGTTTAACTGATACCGTTTGGACAATTCCAAGACAAATCCTGCACCACCTACCTATTCTCTGTTCTTCAGTGGAGCTGTGTAAAGCTACTCAAAAAGTCATCCAGTTTGGGGGCTGCGAATTTTTATTTTTTGTCCCTCCCAAGACAAAAATACTCAAAATGTTAAAGATGGTATAAACCTGCATCACAGCTGTGTAAGGTGGGCAGAGAGAACATTTTTCATTAAAATCCTGGCACTGGAGAGCTTCCAAGTCCTAAAAAGAAGTTAGAAAAAGTAAATTACAGGGCTATCAACATGGCGTGAAAGAATGGAAGATCAAGAGAAAACAGGTTTCACTTTCACTCTCTGGATTAGAAGGAACTTCTTCTTGCCTCTTTTTCCTGTGGGATTGGTGGGTGTGATGTACAATGTTGGGTAGCCAGCAAAGAATGGTCCTCATGTCAGGAAGACAGAATAGTCTCAGAGCAGTTCCAAGAAGAACTCAATTTTAACTGGACTTGAAAAGGACCATAATTATCCCCTTGAACTTTCAGTAGGTTGTGTCAGATACATCATTAAGAAGGTTCCACTAATACTGAGGTATACCTGCTCCACGGAGCAGCCTCAGAGAGAAATATTCTGCTAGACTTAGGAGCTGTGCTGCCTGCAGGCCTGACCACTGCCTACCTCCTGCTACAGAGCTGCTATGAAAGCCCAAATTGATGTACTTGATCTGTGCTGAGAATTACACAATGTTCCACAATTGCAGTGAGAAGCCATTAGTTCTGCAAAAGCTACTATATAATTCCATGTAGGCACTTCCCATTCAGAAATATATTTCAATTAAATTAATTTCTGAATAAAAAATTAAGTGGAGAATTCAATGGATGGCACCAGGGTCAAAGTTTGCCATTCTGGATTCTCATCATTTTGCTTTAAAAAAACCCAACAACCTCACCCCCCAAAAAACTGTGAAAACACAGTTCACTTCCACACTCTTTTGTACATCTTTTTAAAAGTATCTATATAAATAAGTACATACGAAAGAATGTGATTGTCAGAACCATTAGCTTATGTTTTCCACATCTTAGTCCTGATCCTTTTTCTTTTCCCTCTCTTAGTATTTGAATATCTTAGTATATCTTACTATTCTGTAATAAAGAGTTAATGCTAACTTGTTTTTATGTTTGTTTGCTTTGTTTTGCAGATGATGCTGCATTCTGTAAGAGTATTTTTAAGATGAATTACTGATTATTGGGAATCTACAATTCTGGGTGCTTTGGAAACAATACATGTTAGCAACAAAAAGAAAACTGTCTTTATCTGTATTGTGAAATATTCTGAAAAGTGTAATTGTGGGAAAACTGTATAGTGAGATGTGCAGTTTGCACTTCTTTGGGAAGAGAGACAGTTCTGCTTTTGGACAGCACATGGAATAAGAACAATCTTTGAGAGGAGGTACCACCAAAATCTGACTCTCAGTAACTTTTATCTGGTCCCTGTCATTATTTCCTTATTGCATCATATACTGGAAATGCAGCTCTTCCATTAAATTTCTACTCACTTTTTGCTTGCTTTCGCCACCATGGACTACAACAGACAAATAAGTTAGTGACGTTTTTTCATTCTCAGCATATAAACTTCAGAAACAGGCCAATTTACCGTCAGTCATAATTTTGCTATGGAAGGCAGTGAGGAAAAGCTATGATCAGTACCCAAAGCATCACATTTCTATTTTTTAATATTTATAAATTATATCTTAAACTTAAAAACCGGTTTGTTTCTATGAAACATGATTATGTATATTTAATTCTTTAAAGGTTTCTTAGAGAACTATATACCTGCATCTTCTCTATCAAATTACTGTTTTCTCAAAACTTTGTACTCCTTGTTTCTTGTTCTCAGCAATATATTAGAGAAGATAAAATTCAATGCAAAAAATCTTAAGCCAGTTTCAATTTACTTGTACTTTTATTGTTATTTTGTATTCATATTATAAATACAGAATTTAGCCTTTCAGAAATCCTGCAGATCCTTTGCAGACAAAATCTTTTTTATATTGCTTGAAACAAAGATTATGAAATGGAGTTGTGAGATTAGTTCTCTGTCTGTGTGTAACAGCCCCAATCATTTTTCATTCCATGTTCTTCTGTCTGTTCAGAAGACTTTTTCCACCAATACAACTTAACATTTGATGTATTTAATATATATGTCTTTTTAATTTTCTAATAAAATTAAGAGTTTGTGTTGCTTAAACATACCTCTTTGGTTGGACTTTTAATAAAAATATTTCAATTATTTTAAATTGCCATTTCTAGGTCTTTCAGAAAATTAAGCCGATCTTGATGTATTTTAATCTGGGTATTATGGTGATGGCTAAAACCTAAAATTCTGTGCAGCACTGTCCTATAGCAACAGAAGAATGAAAATAGCACACAGTACTTAATTTTAAATAATTTTTTTAAACATTTGGGCCACACAATATATGACCATAACACATTCATCACAGTTTATAGAATTAATGGCTTTGACAGCTGTGATTTTATTTCAGTGTTCTGAACTGTTCTGGAAAAAGTGCTCAAACCTGCATGGTGGCAATAGTGGAAACAAGGTACCTGTGGCGTTGTTTCTTTACAGATAGGGCAGAGCTAAACTCTGCTCACTGACCATCAGAGAGGAATGAAGCAGCTTAGACTTCCAGTGGATATCAGTCCTGACAGCTTTGCTTTCCTCCCCTAAATTAATAGAGTGGAACTAACAGTTGGTGCACTGGGCAAGGTGCATTCAGCTGCAGGTCCAGCTACATTTCCATACAATGAAGTGTTGGTATCAGACAAACTGCAGGTAACCATCCAGAAAAGAGGAAAATAAGCCCATGGACAACCATCCTACTCCCCATTAACTACAAGTCTTTTCTCTGACCTCTAAACGCTTGAGCTAATGGGAACACTGTGCTGAACTGCGCTACCTAAAGGGCTGCTGAGTCTTGCTTCCACTTAAGAGAGAACAGCAAACAACGTTTCTGTAATACGTCAAGTCTCTTCAGAGCATTTTACATGGGAACTCATTTAAACCTTCTTGCTTGGGAATAATTCACAGTATAGGAAAATCTGGCTTCAGATTTGTAATGGATATTGCACAATAGAAAGTAAAAAGGCAAAAAGCACAAAATTTGGACCTTAAGTGTGCACTTACAGTATTTGAGGGCAAAATTAGTCCCATGTTACTTAACAGAAAACCGGAAGAGAAATGCGTATGGACCTACAACACAAATCATTAACCTAGGAGGATGAAGGCAATGCCACCAATATCCAAAAATGTGCAAAGAAAAAAAACCACATGCATTTTTGTATTTCCTTTTCCCTATTATTTCATCTCTGTGACATTAGCTTGAAGTGTTAATAAAATTTCCCTGCTACAAGAGGTCATTTCACAACTAAATGTAGCAACTTGAAGTGGGAAATGTAACAAACACGAAAAAGATGTTTAATGAGGTGCCATTCTGGATATACTCTTTGAAGAGTACATTTACAGAATTGTTTGATTACTTAGAGCGTGCAGGAAACAGTAAACTCAACAGAGTATTAGTGTTGATTTTCAGAATTGCATTCAGCTCAAACATCACCATTCCACTTGGAATTACAAATAAATCTGATACTGAATTACCTAATGTCGTGGAAATGTTCCTGTGCAATTTGCATAGCAAAATGCTCAGAAAAATGGTTCTTCCTTCAGCCTAAACATTAAGAAGGTAAGACTCGAATTTGCTTATTCATATTAAAACAACTGCAGTCAGTCTTAAGATTGATGCAAAAGTTTTGTTTAAACAGCACAGAACTGCAGGTTAAACATATCTCACATCAGTTGGATCTTTACATTTTTGCCTGCTGACAGCAAGTGTAGAATAGTTTACCTATAAACTGCCAATAAGCCAATACTCCAACTGTCAATGTTGATTTTATTTAAAAGAAACAGGTTGTGTGAGTGGCTTTGCACATCAGTGCATAGACTCAATGCCTAACACTGTTGCATGTTCATGTTAGCTCCTAAATCACAGCATGTAATGTACAGAATTCAATCTTTGGCCCAATTATTGTTGAAAGAGCAAGAAATCATAGCTATCTAATCACACTAGAATGGACTGTGCTGCTGGAAAGAGTTTAGTTTTGTGTCAGCTGTGTTGCCATTAATTAGTGTCAATCAGATATCCTAAATAAAAAACAAATGCTATTTTTATTATTGGTGGTGGTGGTGGTGTTCTTATTCTCAGTTTTGTAAAATTCTTTAACTGTTTCTTGATGTTATTCTACATTTGTCAACACGTTGATAAAAAAATACAAACTTTTTTCTGCATCTCTCGTGGTGCTGCATGGATGTTATACATTGAAATCAACACAGAAATTCAGCAGAATGAGTAATGGAGGGAGGTAAATTCATTAGAGGGAAGAAAGCAGAAACATGAACAAATTTTAAAAATTACTATTAAAAAAAATCAACCTGTGTGATGTCCACTTCCCCTCCCCCCACATTTCTGTTTGGGTTTTGAAAGTTTAACTTCTCTCTGTGTACCCAATTTAGTCTCCTTCTGGATCCTGCAGTGACACCACAGCAACTGTTCTACTTTAAAGGTTTCATTAATGACAAATGGCAAATGTTGATATCTGAACTGGATAGAAGTCATCAATACCTGTCCTCCTTGACTCTTTCAAGATCACAGATAAATTGTTTCAGCCAGCTGTCTGCTACCTCAAAGGCGAAATTTATTAACCTTGGTGACTTAAAAACAGTTAGAGTCATAGAATGGTTTGGGTCAGAGGGGACATAAAAGATCAGCTACTTGGTACACCCATGCTATGGACAGAGACATGTTCAACTAGACCAGGATGCTCAAAGCCCCATCCAACCTGGCCTTGGACGCTCCCAGCAATGGGGCATCCATAGCTTCCCTGGGCAATCTGTGCAAATGCCTCACCACCCCCACAGTTAAGACAGTAAAGAATGTCTTCCCAATATCTAATCTAAATCAGTTTGATTCCATTCCCTCTTGTCCTATCACTCCATACAATTGTCAGAAGTCCCTCTCCAGCTCCTATGGCCTCTTTAGATGCTACAGGGGCTTTACAGTCTTGCCAAAGCCTTTTCTTCTCCAGGCTGAGCAACACCAGCCTTCTTGACCTGTTTTCATTTGGGAGGTAAATTAACTCAAATATTCCCTAACCTGCACTTTCCCTTCAGTAGCTAGAATAACCATGACAACTAATTTCAGCCAGTTAATGACTGAAAAACAAATTAAACTCTTCTGCTGGAGTGTTATTAGTATATGTTTTTATCCCCTGAGCAGTGAATCAAACCTTGCCTTTGTTTTCTGCCTCACTACTACTACACTTGCAGAAGACTTTCCAGATATGTGGTGTCCCTGGTGGCTTCTGAACTCACTTTTCACCTTAAGGACACGACAAGACTTTCTAATGTGTCATATCTGGCCTTTTATCCTATCTCCAACCAAGGTCAACAGCAGTATATAGGAACCAGGATAAGAAATGGGCAATGGTATACTAACTGTTTATCAGCATCTTGTGTTCAAGGAATATCCTGGAATATTCCTTCTTCTGGAAAAAGATTGGTAAAAATTGGTAAAAACCATGACCTTCAACTCATTTTTAACCTGTGTCAAATAACATGATATTTGTTCGTAGTCTTCCATTATATTAGATATGCCAACTATTCACATAAAAGAAATAAATTGAGTTCATCTCAGCACAGGGAGTAGAAACAATGGGTCGTATTCAGATCTGACTTAATAAATGTGGTTATTTTGGATTTCACTCTTCTGTAAGTGTCCACAGCTAATTTTAATTTACTTGCACCACCTTTACCATTATGCAGCTCTCCAGTTTTAATAGAAATAAGCCAACTCAGGACCAAATAATCAGTGTTTGAAGTAGGATTTACAGATAAAAATCTGAATTTCTTTCCCCACAGAGGGAAAAAAGGATTGTTTTGCCATATGGTCTCCAACACAAATTAAATTCTAGTTCCAAACAATCAAACAGATAAACTACATTATCTCTTAAATAAATGTAGACAAAAATGGGTATTTTATCTTAAGGAGAAGGAAAGAGATAGGAGAATAAGTAATTTCCTTTAGGAGACCTAAACATGATGTGGAAAACAAGAAAACAAGCTTAAATGGTAGTTTAATTTTTTAAGAAAAATTTTAAGTAATACTGTGCCCACAGCAGGTAGCTCACAAACATGTAAATCATTTTATCTATAAATAACTGAAGATTACAAGAAACTGATTTAAATACTTTAATTCTAACTTGAACAAACAGGGTGATTGGAAAAACAGAATTACAACAGACTTGGGGTCTGGCTTGATAAAAACTATATTAGCTGTACTGATGTGAAAGGGTTGTTTTAAGAACGAGTAAAAGGAAAGGAAGAGAGGAAGAAAGGAGGGGAAACTGCTGATGGTTGATAGGAAAGAGGATGGTTGTGCATTATACCTACTCTCACAGCTTCAACCTTGTCCCACTTAAGGATCACCGTATGGACACGGTCACACTGCACACATTCCTTAACTCAGATTAATGCTTGGGAATGCTTCTGAGTTTTTTATTAACACAATCCTTGCTAGTGTAGGTTTTCTGAGCAATTTTTGTTATACTCATTTCTATGATACCTGAGTTCTTGGAGTCTGTGTTATAGTTTCTTAATTAGAGTCACAGTTGGACACTTGACTGTATGCTGATGGGTACCCTCATCTGAAACAGCCATGATGCTGCAGGTGTGATAGGGTTCATGGGGCAGGAAGCCACCAGGTCAGGAAAAGGCTTTTATATTATTTTATTTTATTATATTTTATTTTATTTATTTTATTTTATTTTATTATTTATTTTATTTTATTTATTAGGGTTTTTTTTATTTTTATATTTTATTTATTTCTTCTGTATCAGGTTTTCCAAGTCAGCTACAATGTTCTTACACTAGAAGTTTCTCTGAACTCAGCTGAATGTGGCCCCACACAGGCTGACCCACCTAAGCTGCTCCAAAAGCAGGGCTGGACAATGTGGCCTCTAGAGGTGCCTCTTGCTGTAAAATAGTGCATGATTCAGTGAATGAATTTAACAGAATTTATATGTGTATGTGTGTTTAGCATTCTCAGCTGGCCTTCACATATAAAAGATATGCAACTCACAGAGCAATACTGCACATGAGTTTTCCCACTTGTCATCATGCTACAGCCCTATAAAGCCAAACTGCACCTCAGGCTGTGACTGGCACAGTGCTATCAAGCCCAAATATTTTTTTCTTGTGGGCCAGTTGAATTTAACCTGTACCTAGACAAAGCTGATCACTAACTACATGTACCAAGCATCAGGTTCCTCATGCCCTTATTGCCAGTAGCAGCTGTGCCCCAAAGTGATTTTCCTCTGTGAATACGTTATCAGAATTGGCCTGTGCACAGCGGTGCCCATTCTGGTACCTGCTGTGATGGCTATCAGTCACCCTAAACTGGCTCTTTTGTTTCTTCCAGCCACCAAGTCTGTAATTGCAATAGTAATTCCACAACCATTTAACTTGCCTGATATGCCAAGAATAAGCAGCAGTAAATCACTCTGCAGGTCTGTATAACCTTGCATGTTCACCAAAACCCAGAAAAAACCTTCCTATTTTGTACCTTTTTTTGAGATCAGAACTTTATTTTCCAGCAGCAGGAGATACTATGAGACACTCTGATGGAGAAGGGAGACATGGGGTATTATGTCCTGAAAAACCAGAAAAGATGTTTATCCACAAGTCAAGAACAGCACACAGAGCTGAGATGTAGGTGTTTTCTTATATTTTTCAACTTCAGAAACATGATCTTTACAGACAGGTGAAGGGAGTGGAAAGAAAAGGAGGTAAGAGGAAGCAGCAGAGAGATGCATTTGTGTGCTTTATAGGAACAGTGTAACTGCTCTCAGAATGTCACTGTGATGGTAAGAGGAGATAGCAGGTTAGTGGTTATGAGACTCTACCAATAAAGTTGCAGAGGTTAATTTCAATTATCATGATTCTTTTTAATCTGATTCTGTTCCATCTGCAAAATTAAAATCAAAGCTTTATTTCTCTATGAGATCTTATCAGAGCTCTGTTTCCCTCTGCAGATATTTATTTAGTGAAAATCATCACCCTTTCCATACACCTATTTCCTGGTCATCTGATTCAGCTCCTGAGTCCTGCAAGGCTCTTGTCAAAACTGCCTTGTGCAGGGGCATCTGCAGGCACACAGTGTGAGAAACCTCCTGTGGCAAATGGTCTTCATCCCAGGGACAACCGATGCTGCTGTAAAGATTTCTACCCCTTCCCTCCACCTTATGCCAGGTCAAGAAACAACAGAGTGATTCCATGTCGGATTTGTGTGTGTGCAGCTTTGATGATTATCCGGTTCTCTCCACTGCACAGGATGCTCAACAAAGAAGCACACAATTCCTGATTGTAAATCCATCACACTTGACTTCCTGGTATGCTTCAGAAGTAGGAATATCAATTTAAATAGAGTGTTTCCAATTAGCACATCCACAAGTGATGGGTCCACTCCAAAAGCAGGAGGTCTAGAGCAGTGCAGAAGGACCACAGCAAAGATATCCCTGGTAGGAAGAGAGGGATTTGCAATTAACATGTTATCAAGAAGCCCATTATTATAAATGCCTTGGTGCAATCTTGATTAGAAGAAAAAAAAAATAGAAGATTTCCCCAGTGAGTTTCAAATTAAAACAAAAACAATAAAAAAGGGGGCACAGACAGGTAAGATGAGTGAAAAAATAAGCCATTATGGCCCAGCCTTGCAGGCAGTAGGCATCTTGCCAATGTGAAACAAAATCACCTCAGAGAGTACCTACCCACTGAGTGCCATTTTCATATTATAAAGATGCAGGCATAGAAGATCCACAAATTTTTCCCAGACTTCATGTGGTGCAGTGCCTAAAATTTCTTCAGTATCTTGACAGGTTTGGTTTGTGGTTTTTTCTTTCCTTTTAGCTATCCGTGGCTGTTTCTGGCTCAGAGACATCTAGGTGTTAATGGCAAAAAAAATTCCCTTATGACAGAGTGGCAAGATGCATGTTAATTGACAAAGCTAAGTTCCATAACAATGTCTTTTTCATAGGTTTCTGATGCTTCCTCCTTAAAACAAACAAATAACCAACCTTGTCCTACCTGTCTATAGCAAAGGCCTAATTCCAGCTCAAGTATGAGCTTCAGCAAGTGAAAAGCTGAGCAGTCTACATTACTAATTAGAGTGTAAACATTTAAGAAATATTCTTTCTTTTTATCCCTTGCTCTTTTCAAAAATGAAAGGCTGTAATTTACATGTAGGGTGGCTCCTAATTGCCTCTTCACAATACCTGCTTGTTTTATTTATTTTCTACCTTCTTTTGGAATAGGTGGAGCACAAACTGTGATCTACATGTATACAGTACTCCCCAAAAGCACCATCAACTCCCTCTTCACAGAAGGCAGAGCCCCAGACAGGATTTCCTATGCATTCTGCTGTGATCTCAAGTGATAATTCTATTGAATTACATTTTTAATTACATAATAGTTATCTTCAGGCATATGTGTGCCTACATGGGCACACAGCTATATGTTTGGTATATAACGCTGAGTTTGTTTGCTTTTCTGTTTTGTAACTATTCCATCGAGAACATGGTTGCAGGACGCATCCAGTTTTGGGGGTGGGAGGGGAGGGGTTTCTTTTCTACAGCAAAATATGGCTGCAGGAATGGCTATGTTTGGGCTCCATATGCAGGGTCCAGCCATATATTCAAGCTGGACAATAAAGCAGGGGAAAAACAGCTGATACACAAAAGGGACCGTCTAGACAGTGACCCATCAGTCTGGCTAAATTTGGTGCTGGTGCTCCCAATGGGACTGTAATATAATTGTTCTGGTGTCTGCATTCATTCCCCCTGTCAAACATCGTCACAAATATACATCCTTTTTCCAATACCATAGGTCCATAGGCCCAAATTGTAGCATCAGATAGAAGTGGCTCAGGAAGAACTACCTAAGCAAATATCTGCTAATATGCAGAAATCCTGTTATTTATTTACTAGAAGAAGAAAACAAAATCAAAACCAAAAAAACCCAGCCAACCAAGCAAGCAACCAAAAAACCTACACAATTTTTCATCAGAATGGAATTAATTTGACTGTCAGTCAAAATATAACTATTTTAATTAAGAATATGGATTTTTTTTTAAATACAAAAATATATTTTTGTGCAGGTACAAAGTCAAGTCATCTTCTCCTGTAGATTTATTAATGTAACAAAGAAAATTTAACATAAATTCTGAGATATCAATGTGAAATGATAACTATGAATCATAGATTGTAATGAAGGTAAAATCTAATTTAAGAACAACCTTAATGATGAAAAGTGTTCATGAAGAAAAAATGCTGTAATTTTATCTTTTGAGATTTAAAAGAAACTAGTGTTTACTTCTTTAATTCCTGAGAAGTGACTATCTTATTAATTTGTATTTTTGCTTATTCAAAAGACATTTGAAAAATATTGAAAGCACAAACTTATCTTGATTATGGCTTGTTCTATATATTTCAGAAAAAATACACTGAAAATTCTGAAATCTGTAAACAATTTAACAAGAAAATCAAGCACAAATATGGAGCTTCAAAAAGAGAAAAAAAAGGAATTAAGAGCTGTGTCACTACGTCCACAGACAGAATGGTAGGAGTCAAAACTTACAAATAAAATGCAAAGACAAAAAATCTCCACTTTAGGAAAGTTAAATACAGGAAATGTGTTTCTGATTTGTCCGTCTACAGTTTTATGTTGTTCTCCATGCTGTTTTGTCCTTTTGTTTCAAGAAAAAATTATCCCAAAACCTTTAGATATAAATAAGATCCAGGATTAATTTCAGACATTTTAAAGAAACGTCCCCTGGGCTTATTTTATTTTAGAGGGTGTTGCTCTCCATGTGCATCAGTAGCTATTTATGTGGCATATTGAGTCCACACACACACTTCAGGCAGAGACCACGAAAAAAGCCACGCTGCCCCACGCTGTGTAGCACCTGGACTGCATCCTTGCATGACCACGCAGCTCATATTGCATACAGCACAAATTTCTTCTCCATCATTTACCGATTATGGCAAAACGTAGCCAGAAGCCTGAAGCGCCAAGAACACAAATATCAGGTTACACTGCAAACAAACAAAAAATTCTCTTCCCCCGCCCCAAAACTCTGGTGTGTCTCATTCCCTAAGTTTTCTTTGTAGAAACTTTGGTTCCAGCAACTTTCTGCAGGATGAGTGAGGGAAAGAAGAGAAGAGAAAGCCCAGGTAACAGGAGGGGAAATAAGTCCCCCACTCTCTGCCCAGAAATGCCCTGAAGGATCTGCCTGAGCTGCAGCTCATAACGCAGGTGCTGTCCACCTAGAAAAAGGAAGGGTGGGAGAAAATATATAAATATCGAAAAAAATAGATTAAATAATTAAAATGTAGGTTTAATGGGGATCACCGGACCCTCTGGAAGAGGGAGTGCAAGAGGAGAAGGGTGTCGGGTTTGGGGGTGCTGGGATGGGGAGGGGGGATACATGTGTGCCTCTCGTGTTGCCTCCCTCCCTTCGTCCTCCGCGCTGGGGGATGCGGAGGTTGGGGGAGTTCGAAGGCTCTGCAGCTGCCCCTCGCACTTGAATAAAGAACTTTTCTTTCTGGAGGGGGTGAGATCCGTGAATACTTTACCCAATAAGAGATGGGGCATATTGAAAACTATATTAAATTACCCTGATTAACAATTTAGCCACGAACAGGGGAGCTTTGGGAGATCTCTATAGTCAGGGCTGGGGGCTATTCATGCCAGCAGCTAAGAGGTCGAAAGGTTTCTGAAGTTCACAGGCTCAGAGCCTTTGTTATGCTAACAGACAATCTCAAATCAGCTGCCTGCTGGAGTGTGAAATATAAATGATTCCTTGAGAACTTCCAATAAGTTGTCACTCTTGTTCTCCAAATACCAGGACAGGCTGTTAATCTACAGCAGGGTCCTTTTCTCGCGACATCGCGATTCCTAAATTAATCTCTTTGTATTTCAAATAATCTTTTAAAGGAAGCTATCCTGCATAATAGCCCAAATACATCTCAGGTTTTGGTTACAAAACGAAAAATCGAGTTTCTGCGAACTTGACTTTGCCCGTGCCGGAGGTGTTTGGGGTGGGTGGGAGAGATGGTCCCAAATACAGCAAGCCAGTACCCAAGTAGGATGGAGGGGGATCAACGAGTAGTGGTAGACTGGGAGCTGGAGAGTCCAAACGTCATCCCCTCGTCTAGCTCTGAACAAAGCCCAGAGCATGACTTACTCTTCCAAAGCTACCTGTTTCCCCACTTTAGGTGTTTATTTAGAGTGCCAGGAGCGGCGAGGAGGGGGCTGCACCTAAGAAGTGGGCGAGGTCTGGGGAGGGTCTGAGCTTTGGACAGACAGAGAAACTCACACCCTTCTGCAGGACGTCGACGCTAATCCACGAAGAGCAGAACAATGAGTTAATTATCTTTACACACAAGGAAATCTATTAGAGGATGTGATCTGCTCTTACTCGAGGAGGAGAGAGAGGTTTACCCTGTGAGAACCCTGGTGGGGGTGAGGCGGGCGCGCAAGGCTTCTCGGCGCTGCGGGAAGAGGGGAGACCTCCCCGCCCCCACCTCACGGGGCAACAGTGACCACAATTATAATGAAAATGACACGAATTTAGTTTGCTTGCACTGGAAATAAAAATGTTTATGTCGTGTCCCGTCCCCAGCCCCAGGGAACGCGAGGAGGGGGCTGGGTCCCCCAGGCACCCACTTCAGCGGACAAGGAAGACCCGTGCGCACGCGGGTTTTTTGGGGGTTAAGTTTGGCTGAAGGAGGAGTTGCGGGGGCTACAGGCAGGTTCGGGCCTCTCTGATCCACGCAGCACAGAAAGCGGATGCCTTTTGCCGGCTCCTTATACTGACATCGACTGGACGTTGTTTTATTTCAGGGTGGGCGGGGGGAGAAGTGATAACTGTTTTCCTCCTAATCAGCATTTATTTCCCCTTTTGGAAATTGATGTCGTCATTTTTCTCAATAAGCTTTTATAAAAATTTTCCGAAAATAGGAGAAACAAAAGTTTGGTTTATGCTGTTGGCAGGAAGAGAAAAGTTTTTGAGGTTTTTAATTTTTTTTTTTTTTTTTTTTTTTTTGAGCTGACACAGGTACGGGGGTTATTATTCAGAAACACTAGAGTCCCGAATTATTCGTGTCTTCTTGAGTTATTAACCACACTTGGCATTTCCAACATGTTTTGAATTTAACAGAGAGCTGACTAAACGGACACAAATTGATGTTGCAATTTTATTTTGCAATTTAAGCCTTTTTTTTTTCTTCTCTTCCCTCTCTTTTCTTTTTTTTTTTCTTTTTTTTTTTTTTTTTTTTTTAAGGGAAAGTTTTCTTATTTTCATCAAGTTTTCAAGCAAATTCAAACTCACCACGTTCAAGCTGCTATTAAGAGTTTGTTAGAAAATTGCCAATACTGGCTTAATCAATAACGTCTGGAGCAGCTAATCCTGAACTGAACGGTCTGCATATTAATGACGGTGTTGCTGACGACATTTATTTCATTGACAAATAGCTTCACACACTTATTCCCATGTTTTTGGTGGTCGAGTTGGGAATTTCAGAATTTAGCTTTCCTTTACAAAACCTCTAACAAGGTTAGGGACAACATAATATTCGCTGGTGCAGTTATTAAGTTACAATAATCAGATTTTTTTTTGGGGGGGGGGAGGAGATACATTTTATTTTTGAGACGATATCTTTAACTACATAGTATTTAAAGTACAAAGTTAAGAATTGCATTAAATATTTCTCTTGTTGAAATAGAGTCGACGTTAACAAGAACCAAATCTCTTCAGCTTTCCATAGTGACACTGTGAACATTTAAAACAGTGATCAGCTTTTTCAATAAATAAGAGCAATATTAACCAGAAATAAGTTAATCTAGGGGAAGGTACATCCAGGAGATTTCCTATTTTATCATTCCTGAATGGCACACCTGCACGTTAGTTTGCAGACAAAATAATCTCGTTCTCAGTAATAATATTTTGCTAACATGCTTGCTTTTCGTAAATACGCTTCCACAAAGGGCTATAGAATGCAAATATTATCATTCATAAGTAACTATAGAGGCGGATGTCATTTCCTTGTAACCACTAGATGATTGCTTGACGTATCAAAGGGGAAGGCAACTTTTCTATAGTATATGGAATGATAAACATATATTTTTTCCCATATCAAGTACTATCTTCGAGGCCAAACATGGTAACAGCAAAAGAATAGAAATACTGTGTGGAAAAGGAGAAAAAGTGCAATATGCCACCCACAAGATGGCTGCCTTTTCATTCTTTTCCTATAATTACAGAACAATTTCTATAGAAAATTAGTGGAAAATGTTCTTTAGCAAACGAGTCAGAGGAACTACATCGCATTCTCCTAACACCTTGCAAACCGTAACAAAATGTATTAAACAGAGTTAAGCTTATACACATAAGCAAAGCGTCATACATGTTTGCCTGAAGGAACGCCTTCAGCACATAGAAGTCATTGTATTAATATCGACAAGTTTTGGATGCTTGAGGACAGAAAGATGCAGGAGAATATGCAGCATAAAAGAAATTCCTTCAATATAAAAGGTGGAATTACAATACATGTATCCAACAACCACACCGTTTAAGCAGATAAGAAAAGTACAATGCGAATAACACATTTAATGCATTTGAAACGGCTATGGGGAGGCTTCTCAAATTCGGGTAAAAAATACTAATGAAAATATTAATACATCTGCTCTTGGTTGAAATCTACTATTACTAAAAATTGTAGAAATCATGTAAGGGCAACGGTTTACATTGTATCAGAATTCGACCGACTTTAGACAAAAAATGAGGCTTCCGAAGAACAGTAAATAGTTTGGGTTTTAGTCTATTCTACAAATTAGGTAGGTTACAAGGTTACTCTGTGGGCTGAGACTACATCCGAAGAACAAAGCAAATGGTTCAGTTTCTATAGGAAATATAATAAACCCCCTTTTATCTAAAAGCCATCAGGGACAAGCACTCAATGCAAGTTAACAAGTAGGAGCCGATAAGATAACATTTATAGGAGGTCAGAAGTCAAATGCCAGTCAAAGGCTTTTAACCTCTTGGGTCATAAACAGGAATAGTTAAAACACATAGATAGTTATTTATCGGATTTTAAAGGTATCTGATCATCGTGACTTAATAAGGTGAAGATTTAACCAATTTGGATTTATAGAAGAGGAACTCTGTCATAAAATGCAAAGCTTCTAGCCTTTAATTCTTTTTTTCATTATTTTTAATTCTCCTTTCTGTCTCTTGTTAATCTATATGACCCAAAACAGACAGGCAACCAAAACGATAAACGTTATCTTAAAACAGGTGCATACCCAGTCAATAAGTGGATTGATATGTGCAATCCAAGGCTTGTCTAAGGATTCAATAGGCTAAGTATTTACAGTCAATATACATAAAAGAACAATAACCACCCTCCCTATTGTGGTGTTAATGCCAATGGAGTTTTGCTTTTTTGCTTTTCTTCGAGTACACTAAAATAAAAAGTAATTCATTTCACAGTAAAAATGAAGAGATGTCCCTTTAAAAATTTTTAAGAAAAAAAAAAAAGCAGCATCTGATAATAAAAAAATATCTAATTTTAAGTGCATAAATATTTCCTGTGTATTTGCAAAAGCTTAAATCACACTTCTAACCTATTCTCTACATAATTTTTATTTCCTCTTTCAGATTGAGTCTCCAAATTCTGAGCTTGCCTACATTTTTGTTCAAAAGCGCATTTTGAAAATAATGCTTGAAAAATTAAATAAAATGTAATATTCACCTTCCAAGAGAGAAATAAGGATTGATGCAAGGCCCTTCTAGGCCCGCTGTTTCTTTCAACAGAGTTCACAATACACTAGGTGAACATTGTGGATTTAAACGCTTTAAAATATTTATCAGAAGTATTTTATCACCATATTCAAATGACACCTGGAGCGCACTCACCTTTATTGACAATCTCTGTTCTGAAAGTCCATTTGCTCCACGAAAGCCCCCCAAAGCATAACAACAAGGACTAACCGTTCTGATTCGGTTAATGTTTAGTAAAAAACCAAGCAACCTTAATCAGCATGCTGATTGCATCGCCAACTAACAAATAATTTACTACTCTGAGCATTGCATTCCATTAAAAGCTCATTAAATTTTCTGTTCTCCAATGGGAGCTTTAGCTTTTGAATTGCATGCTTTTGCTCCAAAATAAACCACACTTTTTTCACTCTTTTCTCCCCCCCTTCCCTCCTCCCTCCCCAAAGGTGGGAATTTCAATACCTAGGTACACGAAAGCAAGAATAAATACAGCTCAGATTTTATTTTCAATTGTAAATTTAAGATCTCTGGGTGTTGCGGGGTGGTCAGGGGGAAAACTGCTTCGCTAGATTCTCCCTCGAGCAGTTTAGCTTTAGTGAAACATCCCTCTTCCACGGAGAGAAATAGGGAATGATCCGTGGTGTAGCTGTGGGAATGCTTTGAACAACTCGAGGAGGGGGGAGGAAAGAGATATACATAACACGGCAACATTTTGTTCTTTAAACTGGAAGCGATTGCTTAAAGAGAAAGGAAAGGAAAAAATGTTAAAAAACCCCAAACCCTTTCAATTTTACTCCTGTAAACAACGAACAAAAGAAAGAAACCCGCCCTTGGGTTACAGAGCACAAAACTTCTTGACTGTCCTAAACATCAAGGACTGCAGTTAGGATACTTTGAGGGGGCTCACAGGGGAGTAAAAAGCTCATTTTTCTCAGCCTTGCATACTAAGTAGCACATAATCGTTATATTTAATAAGTAAAAGGCAAGAAAATGTCAGCCCCTAAATTAACATGCATCTTTGGACTGCTAATTGTACTCATTGCAAATTTGGGTCATTTTGCATGAGTAACTCTAATGTAGGGCTGAGATTGCCATATAGCATAGTGAATTCCTGATTCCCTGTGCTAATCCTGAACTCGGTGATTGTGTCAGGTGCAGTTCTGTATGCTCCAGCAGCTGGTTCATCCTCATCAATGCAAATAAGGCAACTCCTATAATCAGAACCTCGTGAGTCTAAAGCCTGATTGCTGAGGGCAGCTAAAGTGCTACACAGGCTCACTTTCAAATCATGGTAATTGACAAGACAACAGTAATACTCCTCCTGTTTGAAGACTAGCCCTCTGCCAAAAAGACCAAACAAATTGACGGGAAAAAACACATAGGGACAACCTGAGGTTTTGGGGTGTACAGAATTCATATATAAATATGTATATTTTATATATATATATGTATATGCACACACACACATATATAAATTAGAGTGAAAGCCTGCAGTGGCGATAATTAACGTAATATTTGAATACTTATGAGGAAGTATCCCCAGCCAATGACTACATGTAAAGCGCGGGCCGCCTCTTTTCTCAGGGACGTCCATCTCGTCGTTGTGGTCTCCCGGCACCTCCAGTGCACTGCCCCGCCGCCCCTTTTAGAGGGGAGCCCCGTTTGGGGTGTCCCTCATTCACTCACCTCTTCCTCACGGCTTTAGGGAAAACCCTAAGGAACTCCCTCACTGAAATCTGCCCTCTGCCTATCCCCAAATTTCAGGGTTTGTCCTAGCTTCCTTTCCATAAAGTCCCCTAAGCTTGAGCAAAACGCTGCCTGAAAATGACTAAGGGCGTGAAAGGGACTATAAGAAGTCAAAGCCACGCCAGTGGATCCGTATCAACGTTTATCATACGTGCATACACTATAATACATATAATGGTAAAAATAAAAACAGTGGGGAAAAATAGCCTTTCCAGCAATAGTAAACCCCCTTAGACAGGGGAAAGCCAAGACTTGCAGCTCCACTAGCCACGCCCCTCACCCCCTTTCCCCCCCAGGGGGTTGAAAATCCGTCTCAGGGAACATTTGGTCCTGAACCAGAGCTCCAAGCACCAGGAGCTGCACTGTATCCCTTAAGATAGGCAGGGAGGCAGTGAGAGGGGGGATGTGAGCACCGGCAGTCCGGGCCGGAGACAGGACTTCGAGCTCACCTCCGAGCTTTCCTCTGCGGGGAACAGGGGAAAAACAAACGATCCCTGCAAAGTTTTGAGAAAGGAAACATCATATTTTCCTTTTCCCCTTCCCTCCGGTCCTCAACCCTTGTGCTTCCCCCCTTCACAGTTTTTAGGAGGGGTGGGCAGTGCCAAAAAGTGCACCAAGTAAACCAGACCTCAAAATCGTGTATTTCCACAGCGGCTGCAGCCAGGCTGTCCGTCCGCGCCCACTCGCGCCTCATCCTCTCCCCGCCCGTAATAGAATTAACAGGCATTGTCCTAAAAGCAAACCAGAATTTGTCAAATCATGTGTGACAGGCGATTTGCTCACAATATCCACTCTTTTCCGTTACGGAAACAACACCCATCTTAGTCTGTTTAATACTGGCTGACACAGGGCATCTTCCAGGCAAACGTTTGCCTTGGCAAAACATTTACGCCCCGCCCTGAATTCTTCGTATGTCCTTCAGGCACCCCTGAAAAGGGGACCCTGGTACTCTGATGATGTAACTCTTGAACAAGATTATTGCCTTGAAAGGATCCCCGATGTTTTCTGCAGTCTGTTTTCTGCTTTGTTCCTGGTTCAATAATTCCTTTTAGGCAACCCGAGACGTGCCGGCAGAGGGGGTTCCTCCCCACGACCCTCCGACCCTTCTCTACCGCACTGGTTTTCAAACAGCGCTGGGACTCTCACACGCTGCAGGAGAAAAGCAAGCTGCCCATCCAGAACAGGGCTGGATCCTGCAAATCTGTACACCCGCAGTCAGGCTTTCAAGTCGCGTCCCCTCGAGACGGGACGAGCGGTAGGGCTGCTCGGCTTGTCCTGACCGCTGCCGGACCTCGACAAGCTCAGGGGAGATGCTGTGCGTCCTCCATGTGCTGCAGCTACCTTTTGCAGGGGTCTCAAAAATTAAAACTCTGTTTCACTCCAAAATCCTTTACCCTGTGGGTTTTCGGTTTGTTTGTTTTATTTATTTGTTTTTATTATTATTATTGTTTTCCCCTTCCCTGAGCAGGAAGTTTTTCTGACTTTCCTTTTGTAATAGGTGCTATTAGGCAGGAAAGAACCCCCAAAGACATTTCTCTTACACAGAAGCTCATACAAAGTCTCTTACTCCTGCGAATATTGCTGATAAACTTTCTTAGCATGTATCTGAATTCCGGTTTTCCTACACATTGGGAGAACAGAATGAGGAGTAAGAGATTATTTAATTTCCATTAATGATATCCATTTGCATCTCTGTAATTTTGTGGTGCTTTCCCTGCTCTTCACAGGTGAGGATGCCAGGTTTGAATCAAATGTTACTTGACTTTTGAACTAATTAGAAAATTTTCTATTGTAAAAATAGAAAAAAATATTTTAAAAGATAATTAACTTTTCCACCAGTCATAGTCTATTCTAATGTGATTTCCCCCCCTGCTATTAAAAGCATTTCTTTTATTTGCAGCTGATGGTCTTTGGTGATTTGGTGGGTTGGGGAGTGAGGATCAATACTTGTGACCAAAATTATACACTAACTTTTGAAACTTAAAAAAATAGGGTGAGCCACATATTCTGACTAATGTGAGTGAGCTCATGAAGCACTTGCTCTACAATTAGCAGTCATGAAGAAGACGGCATAAAGACTTTAACCATGTCCAGACAAAGGAAACAACATGCTTATGAATGTCACTCCAGCAAGGGAGTCCCCAGCCAGCAGCAACCTCCCAAATCCATTTGAGCAGATAATTCTCCCCAACACAATCTGAGAGCTCTTTGGCTAACAGCTTTTCAGGACTAGTCAACAAATTACAAACTAGAAAAATTCCTCCCCCCTTAGAAACACCAAACCTTATACATTTCTACAAGCCTCTTTGTGTGTTTGTAGGTTCCTTTTGGCTTGAGCCAGGCCCCTGGTCTTCCTCCTGACCAGAGTAGAAATAGACACCAAGCTTTCCCTGTTGTTTTTATAATATCAGCTAAAGACTTTTGACTCATTCCACAGTAAAGGTCATACATCTCTTCTTCACTGAGAGGAAAAATGGTGGCAGCAGTTCATGCCCATTATAAACATATAAAAATACTTCAAGAGCCTGCTCATGATCAGTGTCTATCCTCAAAAAGTTTAAAGCATATCCTGTTAACTGACTTATTTTAATACAGCTCAGCCTCTGTACACTCCCTACCCCTCAGAGCTACCTTATGTAGGCGATTTTTGTAGCAAAAGTTCACCATGTTCTACTGTGTTCTTATACTCCATGAGTTACCACAGCCATTACACTTTATGAGTTGGGAAATCCATTCAGTGAAGGCTGAATAAACAAACTAGGGAGGCAAATAAGAAGCAATGCAGCCAAAACTGCCCTCCCTCCCTGCCCCCTCCCCCCGCCAAAATGACAAGGAAAATAATGAATACATGAGGATGATCTAATGTTGAAATGCCTTAGTGACACATACTAAACACACTAGTTCTAGATAATCATAGCATACTCCACGGTAAGAGTCACAGTTTTAGTTAATACATGCTGTTGAACCGGAGTGAACTGGACTTACAGCTGAATCTAAGAAGTCAGTTGCCATGGACAGAAAGTGTACAAACTCAGTCTTCCTTGTGAGTCAAGTGCACAAGAAAAGCTGAGCAAGACACAGATTGCAAGACAGAATGGGCTGGGTTATCAAAGACGTGAGGACCCTCCCTGCACAGTTGGTGGGGTTGGATGTGTAGGAGGGCATGGAAAACTTTATGCCAATGACTGCCTTAAATCTCAGGTACACCACCCTACCTCTCAGCTAGTCATAAAAAAATTCAGCCCTGTACAAAACAAGAGGGGAAAAGAGATACCAGAAGATAAAGCTGGTTTGGGAATGTTACAATCTTCAGCATTTAAAATTCCACCTTTATTCTGTGTACCAACCGCAGTTTGAAAGCACAGCCGTGACCCTTGTACACTCACACCACTATCTTGCTGTTCCAGGAGATAGTCTCTATTATCTTGAATTGATCCTGTTTGAACACCAAAATGCCTTAGCTGAATTTTATATAAAAACTGGGAAATTATCATATAATACCTGTAACATTATCATAATTTTAAAAATGCCAACTCTGACCATTAAGGCAATACTCAAGATAGTCTGTGGTAAACAAAAAGGAT